CACCATAATACGAGTCTTTGGCTATACGTGACCTTCCCTCATGATTTGCACTAGAGTATTCGGTCGACATGGCTATTAGCGTCACTCCACTATTTTGTAGTGTGCTCTTTCTATCCTGGTTTTGGGTATAAAATGTATACCCATTAATGTCATAGCTTTGATATGTTGACACAGCATTTTGCGGACCATACCCCAACACCTGCACTAATCTATCAACATCTTTTGTCCTTAAGCTTACTTTCACCTTATCTTTCAACCATTGTGGAAATTTTTTAATATGCTCATTAGCTAACCATTTTTCGGTCCTCCTACTATTTCTTGATCGTAACATTTCCATGTGTTCCTTTGCATAAGGAGCAACAGATGTCATGTGTTGCAGGACTGTAAAGTGTGCCATGTGGAATTCGTCTCGATCAGGAATTACCACTTTCGATCCAATTATACCAACTCCTTGAAGTCTACCTTCATGATGTGATTGCGGTATTCCAATAGTGTTGACTCCTTTGAGATAGTTTGTACAAAACTCAATCACTTCCTCTGCAGCATATCCTCTAACAATACTGCCTTCTGGTCGATGTCGGTTCCTTACATATCCTTTTAAGACACACATATATCTCTCGAAAGGGTACATGTATCGCAGAAACACCGGACCACAAGCCTTTATTTCTCTTACAATATGGGATACAAGGTGAACCATGACATCAAAAAATGAAGGTGGAAAGTACATTTCAAGTTCACAGAGAGGGAGGATAATATCATGTTGCCATGAGTCCAAAACTTCAGGATCAATCACTTTCGAATGAATCATGTTGAAGAACAAGCAAAGCTTTGTTATTGTATGTCGGACATGGTCCGGAAGTATTCCACGAATTGCAATAGGAATCACATGTGTGATTAGAACATGATAATCATGTGACTTCATACCAATCAATTTCAAGTCTTTCATTGACACCAACTTCTTGATGTTTGTAGAATAGCCAGATGGCACCTTGATACCATGTAGGCATTTACAAAACTTTGTTTTCTCATCTTTAGACAATGTATAGCAAGCTGGTGGTAGATATGTACGTCTTCCTTCTTTCTTAATAGGAGCAAGCTCTGGACGAATTCCCATTGCAACCATGTCATCTCGAACACTAAGCCCATCCTTTGATTTTTTTGGAATGTTCAACAACAAGCTTGTTAAGCTTTCAGAAACATTTGTCGTAATATGCATGGGATCAAGACAATGTCGGACTTCCAACGTTTTCCAGTATGGTAATTCCCAAAAAATAGACCTTTTCTTCCAATTGGTCGGCTGATTGTTTTTACTGCGTTTTCCAAAAACAATCTTTAAATTTTGAACTTGGGAAAATGTCATTTTTCCATCCATTGGGAGATTCATATCTTCATCCTCGGTTTTACCGTCAAACAAGTTTCCCTGGGTACGATACAAATGATTCTTTGGAAGTGATCGTCGATGTCCCATGTATACATTTTTTTTACAGTTTTTCAACCACATCGACCGTGTGTCCTTTTCACAAACTGGACACGCCTTCTTTCCTTTTGTACTATATCCGGACAAATTTGCGTAAGCTGGAAAATCACTTATAGTACAATAAATCATTGCATGTAGCTGGAAATACTCTTTCTTGAATGCATCATAGACTTCAACTCCCGAGTTCCATAATTCTTTCATGTCGTTAATTAATGGTGCCAAAAACACATCAATATCGTTACCGAGTTGTTTCGGACCTTGAATTAGCAATGACATCATGATGTATTTCCGTTTCATACATAACCACGGTGGAAGATTGTATATGCAAAGAAGAACCGGCCATGTGCTGTGACTACTTCTCATGTGTTTGAACGGATTAATTCCATCTGCACTAAGTCCAAATCGGAGATTTCTAATCTCATTACCAAATTCTTCAAATTCATGATCAATGTTCTTCCATTGCGGAGCATCAGCCACGTGTCTCATCTTTCCATCTCTTTTACGCTTCTCAGCATGCCAACGTAATAATTCTGCATCTTTGGCATTTGCAAACAATCGTTTCAGTCTTGGTACAATGGGCAAATACCATAATAACTTGGCAGGGGGGCCATTCTTTGTCACATCACTATTATATTCTGTTTGTTTCTTCCACAAATAACGCAACCTTCCACATGTAATACATTCATGTAGATTTGCATGCTCATTTCTATACAACATACAATCATTTGGACATACATGTATTCTTTCGATTTCCAAATCCATTGCACACATTATTTTTTTCGCTTGGTATAGTGAAACAGGCAACTCATTACTTTCAGGGAGCATTTCATGTATAACCCCTAACAGTTCTGTGAAACTTTTATCACTCCAACCATTATTTGCTTTTAGGTTAAACAATTTCAGGACAGCAGAAAGCTTGGAAAATTTCATGCAGCCGTCATACAACGGTTTTTCAACGTCTTCAAACAACTGTTGAAATTTTTCATAATCTCTATCAGGCACATTATCTTCAATATCATGTAACATGTCATCTAGGTTATCATGGATGTCATCTTCTGAATCATCTGTATCATCATAACTAGATTCAACATCAATTGTGTTATGATCAATCAATAACTCGCCATGTTGTGACCAACATGTATATCCATTCATAAATCCTTCACATATCAGATGTTCTTCTATTATATCCAAATCATAGATCTTTTTACAATTTCGGCACATTTTACAAGGACACCAAATGTAAGATTCTCCTCTATGCACCCGATGATCCTCAGCAACTTTAAGAAATTTCTTGACGTTATGTAAATATTCACTGCTAGCCCGTGGTAGTCCATACATCCAAGTTTCACGATACATCTGTGTAAAAACATACCACAAAACGAAAGAATTAGAGTCATCCCACAAAATAATAACAATGTATTTTCTTTTATTTACAAATAATAGTATAATGCTTATATTGATAGTGAAATGTAAGTGCATTGCTATTATAGGTACAAAATTATCAAATGTAAAATAAAGTTGCATTAAAAATGCCAATTACAAATAGTGGAGGTCCTATCGCAATGAAAATGATAAAAAGAACTTTTAATTCGGGAGGTTATCTACAATAAAATTATAATTATAGTTTATTAAATTATAATTTTATTCAACTTTTTTATTAAGTTTTGTACGTGAGCCTTGTACTTAATTTTTTTTTTTACTAAATCATATTGTTTTGAAAATTAATTCCCCAAAGCCAGTAACTTATTTTGGTGGTTTGTTTTTCATATTCATGAAAAACAAAAATTATATCACCAAAACAATTCCTTTATTTCAAAAAATTATACTTTTTATTTTTAAATTGAACTTCCTCCCAAAACCAACGGTGGTCAACTTCTTTAATACCACAAGATCCTTCAGTTTCTTCTGTCCCACAAACACATCAAATTCCCCCTTCTGTTCCTGTTTCGTTATATGACAATTGGGCAAACTTTGATTCAACTCCAACTCCAGTAGTAACAAAGCTGATGCCTTCTTCTCAAGCTCCTTCAAGTGGTGCTAACTTGCTTGACATGCTTTCTGAGTTATCAGTTCCTGCATCTGTTAACAACCCACAAATGTCACTTTTTGGCACAAATCCTCATCCTCCTCCTCCTGCTGCTGGTGGTGCACCACCATCGGCGTTTGTCCCTGGTGGTGGTAATAATGGCATATGTTTTTGTGGGATTTTTTGTATGAATTTAAAATTTCTAATGACTTGTGTTGTTTGTGTGTGCAGGATTTATTTACTTCAAGTTATTCTTATTCATTTTTGTGCTCCAGGGTAGTACCTGTGTTATGAGTTATCACACAACCTTCCACAACACAACTCATTACTTTTTATATCAACTTTGTTACAATTTTTGTGACCTGGATCAGGCAAATATATCTAGTTTTACCAAAAATGTTGATCATTAATAAACCCGTTTCAAGGATAATTTGGTCCGAAACTCCGAATAAAAGATTTAACCACCAATTTAATCATTTTTTACAAATCAAAAAGATTCTATTAAACAGTTGATTACATTGGAATTGATACCATTATTAGAAGAATATGATAGAAATGAAAGAATAACCATTGTTTATGAGGTACAGAGGGAATCTTTATCCTTTCAGTTGATGCAAACTCAAATGCTTACAGTAAACAAAAAAACAGTAATTAACCACCAATTTTATCATTTCTTGAAAGATTTTAGCCAAACTTTCAAGATTATTAAGCAAGTATACATATTATGTTTGCACTATATATGTGTGTATTATGGAACTTAATCTAATATTTTGACAGGCTTTATGAAATAGGGAATGTGGTCTTGTAAGTAAGAAGTTGATATATTGAAATTGATTGGTATGAAATTAGTACTCAATGACTGTTAAGGACTGTGAAGTAGTATTTAACAAGAGGGTGTTTGAATTTTAAGATTCCAAGGTCATCTGGTTAAAATTAAACAACAAGTTTTTAAAACAGAGATCCTACCATTTGATTTTGCATCTCCATCACAGCCAAAATGCTTCTATATCCTTCGTGAACGGTTGTAGTTCCTTTGTATTTCTGCCCTTGTTTTTCTGTTGCAAAAACAGAAATCAAATTTTGAACCGCTACCTGTGTTTTTCTATTGCAAAAATAGAAATCAAAGCTCTTACCCTTTAAATTTGAACCGCAGGTGTGGTTAATTTGTATGATGATGATGGTCCGGTGGTGGGATTTTCAGGTTGGTTGAATTATTGGAGGTGCGAGGCGAGGCGAGGCCGGTGATGATGGTGTTGCGACAGGGGAGATGGAGATGAAGGACCGATTAGTGGTGTAGAGATGGAGAAAGGGTGGTGTTAAGGTGAACAGGTTGGGAGGAGAAGCGTATTCAATTTAGGTATTAGCCGTACTTAATCAAAATGGTGGCGTATTTTATTTAGTTATTTGATTTTGTTTCTAGTACATCTCCTTAACCGTATTAGATGCTGCAATTGTGCGTATTATATTTATCTTATCCCTTTATAATACGGTTTTTATTTACAACCGTATTAGATGGGGGTGTACTCTATAGCCAATTTTCCAGTAGTGTTGGTTCAAATCCTCATTTTGTACTCCACAATCTATTTCATCAAAAAGCCTCATGGCCTCGGCACAAGTATCCCGAAACCGTATGTGCCCAATACCTGCCACTGAAGATATCATGTTTGGCTGCATGATAAGAAGGTATAACATGTAATCTGATAATAGTTTGGAAATTTCCCGATGATCATTGTTGGCAGGTATGGGTGCCTTATTGTAGCATAGCTCAGTGGCGATGTGCCAGAGTATGAGACTCTGATCATAGTCAACATCTATAATATATTGAAGTAAGCTACCCCAACCATTTTCCATGAGGATCGTCCAATTTCCTCGTGCCGAACATATCTCCTTTGCAGTTTCCAAGTCGTCTGCAAGTTCTGATTTTACTTTCAGCTCATTGAAGATGAATTCTTTAAGTTTTGGGGTGAAGCTTTTGGATTTAACATACTTGATCTCATCCAAAAGCCCACTAAGCCCAAAGTTTTGATAAAGAAATTGATGTATGCCTGGACGTGGGTGCAAGCAGTAATAGATAAGGTTGTAAGTTGAAATGGATTCCGACCACCTTCGTCTTAAAAACTTAATCTCGCAATATTTGCAAGTATGTGATTGGGAATGATCTTTTGTGTACCCAAGAGTTCCCGCGAACCTGAGTCTAAAAAATGCACTGACGAGTCTTGTCTTGAGAGTCTTGTTTTTTAGTTCAATCTCAGGAGACTTCCGTAAAGAAATGATGATCCAGTCTGATAGTAAGAGCATGAGTAGTGCGATGAAATCCAAAACCAAAGCACCAAAGAGCAAACCATATGTTATCATGACATCAACTCTTTTAAAATTTGTTTTGTTTTCGAATATAAATAAAACGATTGTTGAACAAATCGTCGCCAATGAGAAAAACCGGGTAATGGCTCCAGTTAAACTAAACACCAAAGGAATCTTGGTGAAGAGAACCTCATACATAAAATTTAACTCAATCTCGACCAGTTTGAAAGCATCTTCTGCGTTTCGATTCTGGAAAAAAGCACTACTCTGATTCCGTTCACGTCGACTGAAAATCATATCAACAATAATCCCTTTGAATGTTTCAAAGAATTGATATGCATACTGCACTAGCTCCAACTCTGTCAAAGACCCTTTTTTAGCCTTTCTTGCTGATGTAGCCCCACGATCTGGATCTGAAACAATTTCAATTCTTGTTGGTAGTTTATCCATCTTCTTTGAAAAGAATCCATCCATTACTTGTTCATAGTTCGGCCCAGGATCAGCGGCTGTACCAATGGAATCTTTAAATCTATCAGCACTAGCGCGATAGAGCGAGTATGTCCTCTCACTATATTTGATGATTCCTGTTAAGAACATCAACATTGTGGGAATCCATAGCCGATTTTTTGGTAGTGACTGAACAAACACATAAACAGTAGCTAAACACTGGAAAATAAGACCAAGAAGATGGCGAAGCCACAACTCATTATCTTCTAACGCAAAAGCGGTAATAGTGTCGGGACCACCAAGGTGCAGCAAAAGAAATGGTGACCAGAAGGCAAGAAGGTCCTCGTTTTCCACAGCCAACCTAACCTGTTTTTTCCCGAGGCTGCAGTTAGGGTTTCCTTGGCTGTTCGAGATCAGGGCAACGGCAAAGTTAGCCGCCCAATCAGCTAGCAGATATGCAGACCACAATGACATGATTATCCAATTGCTTTTTGTTCGTTTTCTTACAGGAGCAACAAGAATCATAAATGTTTGTAAGGAAAGACTCAAGATGATGAACCCTCGGAGATCACATGTATACCATAATCGTTCCCATTTTTCAGGAATCGGAATCTCCACCATCATTCTCCTCATTTTCTTAATTTGGCTAAATGCTAATGCTTCTTAAAGATATCTGCACAAGATTGAAAATCTTACTTTGATCAATGATAGAATATATATCAAAATTGCACAAAGTCAAAGTTGCTGTATAATTGGTCTGAATTAATTGCTACATGTTTAACAAGTTCCGTATTTGGAAAATGGAAATTACCATGATGAAATTAAACTCATGTCTCCGTAATGAATGTTCACTATTAAAACTTTGATTAATAGTGAGAGCATCCACAATAGGGAGTTTAATGGAAGAGTCGAACGAGGTGGCATGCCTATTTGTCATTCAATGGATACAACTCCACTATTATGAAATGCCACCTTGGCATTCAATGAATTTGGAGTTCAATGGTCATTGAACTCTTCAATGGAAAAAAGAAAAGTCTTTAAATCTTTAAATAATTATTTTTTTAATATGTTTCATTGAATTTGTAGAGTTTAATGCACTGAGAAATAAAAATGAATAGAATTGTATGGAATAGTGAATGATGATGTGGCACTCCATTGAACTCTATAGAGTTCAATGCATTGTGGATTCACTGAGGGAATCAGCAACAAAATAATTTCATCGCAAATAACACCCGTAGACAAAACAAATGACAGTTGTTTACCAAAATAAGCGACTAAAGTCTGATGTTTCATTGGATGTTGAACGACTGAAGTATAGCATTCAAAATTTTATTGCTTTGGATTTGAAATATTTGATAAAGTAGTGGTGACAACTAAAGCTCTGGGGATGTTTCCAATGGTGGATTACAGAGATGAACATGATCGGTTATGGTGAGGGTGGGTGGGTGGGTAGGTGTGGTGTATATTTTTTATTTTTATTTTTGTTATCAAAATTTATAAGTGATTAAAAGAAAATAGAAAAAGAAATTAAGAAGGGCAATATAGTCTATTTATATAGATCAATGACCAAAACTGTAAAATTAGGAAATCACAAGGACTTGTCTTGTCTATTTTCAAAGTTTAGACCAAAAGTGCGAATTCACATAAACCACAGCGACCAAAACTGTAATTTACAATATATGTAGTGAAATGTAGAATTTTTCAAATGGGTCAATACAGTTATAAGTAGAGAAGAAAGATTTTTTACTACCCCAACCCATATGAGATGAGCATATCAAAACAACAAAAAATCAAGTAAAATAAGCTAAATGAATTCTAACAGGGATGAGTATACCAAAACAACTAAAAATCAATTAAAATAAGGTAAATGAATTCAAACCCCATTACCACAAATTGGTAAGTTCACCGCTTTAACCAACTTACCATTCTACTGATTGTTATAGAATTATGCAGATTTATATATAATATTTGTAAATTAAATATATTTATAATCAATTTATAAAAGTTGGCGCGGTTTGTTTTTTGCGGTTTTCCAATCTCTAAAACCGAAAGCGAATCGAATATTTCCGTTTTTTAAAAAGTAGAAACCAAACCTTCAGTTTTATGGTTTCAAATTTTCGGTCTTGGTTTTTTTTTTTTTTTTTTTTTGTTATTTTGGATATTTTGGTTTGCGGCTTGATTTTTGTTCAACCCTAGATAATATACAATATTATTAAATATAAAATGATAATTATTGGCTATGATCAGTTAACACAGTAAAGTTCATTGGATTAAGAAGTTTAAGAGGACTGAGATCAAAACATAAATAAGGACTACACATGAAAAGGAATTGATGTTTTAGACCCTAACCAAAAAAATGTCAATGGTGCATTTTACTAAAAAGATGATAATAAATGTTAATGTTACAATCTATTAAATTTCGATAGATTCTAGAAATTAAGAAGTGAAATCGTATAAAAGGGTGTAATGTTGATGTTACATTAATTTATTAGTTTTTGAAAACTTTAATGTATTTGAGAGGTTTTATTTGTAAAATTTAATTGCCCCCACAGCAACCATTTAGTAATTGTTTTTGCAAAATTTGCCAATTTACATAAAGACTACTCTTATTTTCAGTCAAACTCAATCCAATTATCTATTAAAAAAAAAATCCCTCTTTAACATATACAACCCAACTAAATCCAAACATTAACCCATAGTATAATTCCATTTACAAACAAATAAACAAATAAACTATTATTTTATTGTTTATTATATCTAGTTAAAAAAACAAAATAGAATCACCAATAGTATAATTCCATGTAGGCTTGACTAGGACTTTATTTTGGTGGGTGTATCACTACAAGTTGGATCAAGTCGGTTGTTTATTTTTTTATATTCTTTTTCGTTTAAATGTTTTTGACGACCGAACACATTCTCAGTTTTCAATGGCAATAGTCTAAGGTATGTCCAATAATATATTAAAAGAAGTACCTTTGTTATTGTTTGTTAATGATGCAATAAAAAATAATAATAATAAAAGTGAGTAGTCTTATCTATGAAATAAACAACATATAAATGGAAAATAGACTTCGAAATTGTCCGCAAAATGATCTTAATATGCAACAAGAAGTCTTGATCTTCTATGATGGGATAAATGTGATGACAAGGTAACTCCTTGATTCGCAGGGACCTTTAATAAATAAAAATCCTTCTGAAATTAAGGAGCTAATCAAAGATTTTTCAAAGAATCCACGGGAGTATCACAATCCTCGCAATGACAACACAAAAGGAATTGGGAATGGCACTTCGTCAGACATGGTGGCTGGTTTTGTTATGTTGAATAATATGGATCAAAGAATGACGAAGATGTATCAATCCTTACATGTCATACATGTGGGTTGTGATATTTGCAATGGGTCACATTTGAAAAAAGATTGCCATTTTGACGAAAACGGGAATAGGAAGGATCAAGTTTGTTACTCAAGTGGCAATCGATATGATGAAGATTCGAGGAAGCCGAAAAAGAATGGTTTCCATACAATGAGTACAAAAAGAAAAAGGAAGAAAAATATAGACAAATCGGACGGGGATTTTACCAAAAGGAGCAACCTTAACCCGAGAAAAAGGTGGACTTAGAGTCAATGCTTACAAGGTTCATGGAAGCTTCAAAAAAAAGCATCATGATTCAGCTGATGCTATTATGAGAAATCATCAAGCTTCCATTAAAGACATTTAGATTCAACTTGGGAATTTGCCAACATAATTTAATCAAAGAATACCACCTAAAAATTCCGATCAAAAGGAGAAACCACATGTCATGGCCATAGACACTGAAGAAGATACCATCTCTGAGTTCTTGGAAGCCTTGGAAGAAGAGACAAAGAAGCCCGAATCCTAGACAAAGCAGATCAGAGTCGAAGAAGAAATTGTTGTTGAATCACTGTCATCACGACGTGAAGATTCAATCCTCATGACATGGTCTCAATCTGAACAGAAAAAAATTTCATATGATCAAGCTTTTCAACCTCCACTACACTTTCCTTCTCCAGCAAGAGTTCATCATTTGGAAGAAGAACATAAAATTTTTATGCAACAAGTTAAGGGTATCCGATCAATATTCCTTTTATTGAATCCTTGCCAAAGGTTCCTGGGTATGCTAAATTTCTTCAAGATTTACTAGACACTCACGAAAACTGGAGAAGACCTCCAATATGGTTCTTAGTAAGCAATGTTCCATTGTTATTATGGAGGGGATACTAAAGAAGATGGTTGATCCCGGACGCCTTACACTTACATGTGAATTTGGAAATAACATGAAGACATATGCTTTAGCCGATTCTGGAGTGAGTATAATGCCTTATTCATTTTATCGAAAACTCAACCCTCAGAATTGAAGGCTACTAGAATGAAAATTCAAATGGCCAATCGTTCAATGACTCGACCTAGAGGAATACTTAAGGACATTTTAGTAAAAATTGAAAATTTTATTTTTCTAATCAACTTTGTGGTGCTAGATATGAAAGAGGATGAAGATGTCCCAATTATCCTTGGACGCCCTTTAGTTAATATCACATGAGCTTTGGTTTATATTCGTGAGTCAAAGCTTACCTGACGAATGGGGAATAATGAAATGACATTTGGCATTGACGATGGATTCAAGAAGGATTGTGCTCAAAATGAAGTATTCTTTATGGATGAAGGAAACGAGCTTGAGAAGTTAGCGAAATTGATGGAGGAAGAAATTCAAACAAGAGAACAAGTCAAGCGTACCATGCCAAGAGCTTCAGTTCGAATGGTTTTGAGATCTTTGCTTATAAAACTCTAAATTATTTATTGAGTGAAGAAAGTGAAGAAAGTTGGGTGTCAAGTGACAAAGAAGAAGAAATTATACAAGACTTGAGCAAGCCAACTTTGGATAACAAGGTTGTCGAAGCTAAGGAGCTACAAAAAGAAAAAGGATAATTTGTATTTGTGAAGAATAAATGGGTGAAATGAAAGCTCGAGGAAAGCAATTTTAAAATAAAGAAGTAAAATCCTAAGAAATCTTATTTAAGAAGGGTACAGGTGTATAAGAAAAGGTGGAGGGAATAAAAGCTGCAATTGGACAACATATCTCCAACCAATACCACGTAGGGCTTACGGAGTCTGGCTCATGAATCTATCAAAAGAAGCGCTTCTCAGGAGGCAACACGAGTTCGGTTCTCATTTTCCTTTCTTTTCTTCTTTTATTTTTTTTTCATTTTTAGGATAAATTTTATTTTCTTTGTTTTCCATTTATTGGATAAACTTTTTGGCCACTCTCTATATATTTTAAAAATCAAGTGTGGGGCCCTTATCGTAAAAATGAAGAAAAAATATTTTTATGAAAAACTTTTTTTTATAAAAAAATGATTTTCATAAATTAATTAAATAAAAAATTGTTTTTATGGACCATTTGGACTGAAGCAACCCAAACAATTTAGCCCAACATGCCAACAGACCTTAAAAGTCGCCCTTACATGGCCCACGGCGTGAGCCCAAGCCCACAACATGAAGAGGTCAAAGTCATGAAGTATGTTCAAACTCCAGTCGCTATTTGCGATCACTCATTTTTCCTACTTTATGTCATGAAGCAAGAACTTGCCCCCAAGCTTTAATTTCAACCGAAAATC